TGCTGTAGATTAATGGCTGCTGCTTGGGAAGAATAGAGGGAATATTTTCTTGCCAGTACAAACATACATATTTATCCAACTAAAGTCTGTGCACCATAGATAGGATGACACCTTAGATGGACAGGACCTGATGCCAGTGCTATTCTGTAATGGCAATCTATACCTTTTTTCTTTTGTGTCACCGCAATCACTGAAACTGTCAGTGATTCTTTTCATGTCTATTTGTGGTTCAGGTTCTTTTTAAATCAATTTTTAAAAACCTGCTGACATTTTTCCATGTTGTTATAGGGGAAACATTCCCTCCAAATTGTTTACCCCTAGGCATGAGGCATATTGTTAAAGACTACATAATCTCTGCTTGCTTTTTGTAAGCAGTAAGATACTGAGGCATAATAACTATTGTATCAAGCTGTGTGTGGCTTTTTAAATTAGTTTTTGGCATGGGCTTGTTTATTTCTTATTCCATTCTGGAGAGGCTATCTTTATAGCTCCCTTGCCCATGGATACTGGGAAGAACTTCAATTGCTGCAAGTCTGTATGTGCATTTTTTCCCTCCTGCTTTCTTACAGAACAAAGAACTTCAATTGCTGCAATTGCACAGACGTATGTGCATTTTTTCCCTCCTGCTTTCTTACAGAACGTTTAGACACTTGCTGAATTTAGTGGTGTATGAAACCCTATTTTTCTGTAAACTCAATATGTAGATATGGCTGGCCATCCTAGGAAACTTGAGGACAGACAAATCAAAGTGCCTGCCTTAGCTCTAGGAACCAAATCTCAGGAGAGCTACTGGAGATCATTGTAGTTTTTTAAAAAGTTATAAATATCACTGTTAGGAGATGCCCGTTTAGCTTGTTAGTGTATTCACCCCCTGGAGCAGAAATTAGGGATTCACATCCCATATTAAGGTTTCATTATCAGTACCAAAAGCAAGCCATCAGAATACTGAGGGTCATTGAATTTTTAGAAGTGTGGTAAGTTGGATCTGTGACCTGATAGATATTAAAGACTTTATGGCATCTTTTGCAAAAATATTGGTTAATCCTAGAGGCAAAGCCTACAGTCATTCTCTCAACAAAACCTTGTCACATTTGCCCATATGACATTTGTTCCTCTGGTATTTACATGGTTTCCAAAGATAAAGCTGTCCACCCTGTTTTGCATGTACTGGACCTTGTCTTGATATCTTGAAGAGGAAAGATGCTTTATAAAGCATCTAACCAAGGCACCAGAGAACGCTGCGGCTAACAAGAGCCAATTGTTCTAGAAAGCAGCTAAGAAATGTAACGTGGACAATCCAGAAGGTTTGAAGACCAAGCTGACCCCTGAGTTTGCTTTGGCTCTATGAATCAAAGCACTAGTCAAGCCACTGGCAGTGCAAATACAGATCCGAAAAAGAAAATATGTAAAGTGATACAGTGGAGTAGGTCACTGGGACAGCCTGGGAGTCATTCCAGGATATTCACCCTGGCATTATTCTTCTCTGGCTTGTACTCATTTATGGTTACAAGGCAGATCCTGTTCTCAAGCCAGACTCCTTTGGCTTACCCACTCTATTGACAGTTCAATGCATTTAGCACAAATGGGTAAATCATTGAAATGGGTGTTTAAAGTCATATTAAAATGTTATGGATTAATAATTAATACTTTCCT